AATAATGGGAAGAATCAGGATAATGATAAGAAGAGGGCCCCCCTATCGATGATCCCCAGAACGTGTGCCAGCGCCGACGTGTGCTCGTCCACAGGAGCGCTCCAGCACGGCGCAGGGCGAGGCAGAGAGAGAGAGAGAGAGCCGACACGGGCTGGGTGCTTGTCGGTGAGGCGGAGCGGGGCGAGCACGCGTCCCGAGGATCCCCGGCACCCCGCCTCGACGCAGGCCCCTCCCGAGCCCCAGACCTGCCTGGGCTGCCCCCCCCCCCAGGCTTCCGGCCAGCACTCACAGTCAGCCCGTGGCACGAGGATGCGCGAGGAGGATGCACGGGGCCTCGGACGCCCATTTCGACGCTTGTCGAGCGGGGCGCGGCCACCGAGAGTGGCGGAAGATGGGCTGAGGAAGCAAGGGTGCAAGGGTGCCCTTGGGAATGCTGCCCATCCTTCCTGTGCGGGCTGACTGCAACCCGGGTCAGCGCAAACCCCCGGGTCAGCCAGGGCCCACGTCGCGAACCCAGGGCGACCACGCAGCGGCTCCCAAGGCTGGGTCAGCGGAGGTCTGGGGGATCTCATCGGGGATGGGCCGACTCCCGCGCTAACCCCCGTTGCGCGAGCCCCGACGACGCCTGAGCACGAAGAGGCCAGCAGACCACAACGAGAGGAAGTTGGGAAAGGCGTAGCTCCCGAGGCACGACGTCGTCGGGCGGGGCCACTGGAAGAGGAGCCTCTGAAAGTCGAGCAGGTACACAAGGAAGCCAAAGACGACGTACTTCAGCGTCTGCTGGTAGCTGCGCAACCTCTGCTCCAACAGATCCCTCTTCTCGCCAGAGTTCTGCTGGGAGAACCACCCGTGTAGCAGGGAGGCGATCATAACGGCCTGGATGGTGCCAGGCACGAGCGTGTAGATGACGTTGATAAGAATAGTGGGCAGACCGATCCTCGCGGCAGCGTCTCCATCAGGTAATGTGGTGATGGACCACAGAGTGCTACCATTGTGGCAAGCCGCGGATCTGTTACTACAGCCGCCCCCTGGCTGGGCGGCAGCGGACATGGCTGTGAACGAGGACGCCACATACATCCATTGCGCAAGATGCGGCATGTAGGTAAAAAACGCTGCGAAGCCAGGAACGACTGGCGCAAGGGCTGTTAGAATCAGGGGGCGAGGACGCGAGGGAGAGGAGTGGGCGGCACATATCAGGAAGTGTCTGGCGAGAGTACCGCTTTGAAAAAAAACGCTCCTATCCATGTGGTTGTTGCGCCTGTTTGGATGCATGGTCAACGTTTGCCCTCGTAGATTCGAGGAACTGCGCCGCATCCCTATGGCTGCTGCACAAGTATTTTCGTTGCCACTTCATCCGCAGACATCTCTCGAGAACCCAGTTCTCAATATGGACCGCCCTCCATCCATGTAGCAGCTGTAACCAGACAGTGTTTGTGACGCATGGGCGCGGCGTTTAAACGACCACAGCGTTTGGACAACGGTCCGCCCACCATCTCATGAACCACGTGTGAAACAAGTGCAGAAAACGCGAACCACATGTTTAACACCATCCGCCCTCTAATCGTGTCATCTAATGAGCAGGGACCGACCGTCCCGGCATTCCTATAGTCCTACCACGAAATGTTCTTAGAACCCAACAATGTTCTAAGAACAAAAGCAATGTTCTCAGAACGTAAACCCGATGTGATAAGTCAAGACAGTCTCAACCAGAAATGTTCTAAGAACATTTCGTGGACACCACAGAAGGTTCTTAGAACATTGTTTGGTAGGGCTATAGGCGAGCCAGGACGCTTCGCCACTGCTTGAATCTGAAAGCTCAAAATCAAACATTGAAACAAAGGTCTCCAGCGAAACGCCCAGACCGCTCTGCCGACGTCTCGTGGCCAGACGACAAGGGGCAACTCATGAGAAACAGGGCTGGAGGAACAAAATGAGCAGAAGGGGGAGGAACAACGTGCGTCGCAACAACAACGTCGGCATGCAGCCCTCGGCAAGGCAAGCCGCTCTGCCATTGGAAGAGGAGCGCCCATGGACACGCCGGGGCGACCCTGAGAAGTAACACCCCGAGCCCCTTCGGACCAACCGCCCGATTCCCCACCGCCCGGCACTGCAGCCGCCCGCTGCGCCAGAGCCGCCTTTTGCACTCCCGGTGCCCGTAGGAGAAGAGGGCGCTGGAGACGACGAGTGGGAGAAGGATGAGGGGGCGGAGGAGGAGGAGGAGGAGGAGGAGGAGGAGGAGGAGGAGGAGAAGAGGAGGAGGAGGAGGAGGAGGAGGAGGAGCAGGAGAAGTACAGTGTAAACCCAAGACTCATCAACGATGTAGAAAGGAAGCAATCCCTCTGCATTCCCTCTTCGCAGGCCCCTACAAGGCTTCGTTTCCACTCAGGGAAGTACTCCGTTGGGAGACAACCGTTTGACAATCCTGGAGCGTGCCAAACACCATTCTCAGGAAGCCAACGCCACGAACCAACCTGGCTGTAGCGTCTTGACGACCCTGAATCGCGCCAGAACGCCATTCCTGGGACTTCAACACTGGGAAGCAGTGTTGTTGTTACGCCCTGGCATTCCTGAAGTGTTCGCAAACGCCGTTTCTGGTACGCTAACCCTGACAACCTGTGATGCTCTTAAAACTTTTAACACGCATGTGCGCGGCGCTAAAGCGAAAACCACATGTTGAAAAGGAACAGCCCTCAATCCATTCCATGAAGCCCTTGTTATTTTTCTCAACCGTCCTGTGGTGTTGGATCTTCGTTTTGAAAAGACAGCGCCCCGCGTCACTCACTCCCTCCTCCTCCTCCTCCGCTTCCTCCTCATAGGGAGCTCCACCGAAGGCCCCAATGGCTGCGGCCGTATGTGTCCGACCCGCCGCCCAAGTCGGCACACACACCTCACGAGGATCGTGGCCCCATACGGAGCTCCACTTGAGGTCCCAGTGGCTGCGGACCCACTCATTTCGGCACACCCCTCACGCGGATTGCAGCCCCACAGGAAGCTTCACCGAAGGTCCCTGTGGCTGCGGCCGCATGCGTCCGACCGACCTAATCCGGCACACCCCTCACGAGGATCGTGGCACAATAAGGAGCACCACCGAAGGCCCCAGTGGCTGCGTCTGCATGCGTAGGACACACCCATTTCGGCACACCCTTGACGAGGATCGAGACCTCATAGGGAGCTCCACCGAAGGCCACAATGGCTGCGGCCGTATGTGTCCGACCCACTCATTTCGTCACATCTCCCGCGAGGATCGTAGCCCCATAGGGAGCTCCACTTAAGGCCCCAGTGGCTGCGGCCGCATGCGTCCGACCCACTCGTTTCGGCACACCTCTCACGAGGATCGCAGCCCCATAGGGAGCTCCACCGAAAGTCCCTGTGGCTGCGGCCGCATGCGTAGGACCCACTCATTTCGGCACACCCCTCACGAGGATCGTGGCCCAAAATGAAGCTCAAGTTACCAGTGGGTGCCGTCGCATGCGTCCGGCCCGCCCATTTCGGCACACCCCTCAAGAGGATCGTGGCCCCATAGGGAGCTCCACCGAAGGCCCCAGTGGCGCCGCCTGCATGCGTCCGACCCAGCCATTGCGGCACACCTCTCACGAGGATCGTGGCCCCATAGGGTGATCCACCGAAGGTCCCAGGGGCGCCGCCCGCATGCGTCCGACCCACTTATTTTGGCGTAGCCTTCACGAGGATCGTGGCCCCATACGGTGATCCACCGAAGGTCCCGGGGGGCGCCGCCCGCATGCGCCCGACTCGTTCATGCCGGCACACCGCTCACACATTTCGCGGCCCCATAGGGAGCTCCACCGAAGGTCGATGCGGCCGTCCTCGCGCGCGCCTCCCCCGCCCATTTCTGCCCACCCCTCACACGTTTCGGGGCCCCCAAGGGAGCTCCACCGAAGGTTGCAGCGGTAGTCATCGCATGCGGTACCCGTCCCATGCTGGGCACACCCCTTACCCGATTCGCCCGTATCACGCCTCAGGCGGTTCGCGCCCCCATAAAGAGTTTCCTCTCTATCGTCCCACCTGCCCTGCGGTATTCAAAACTGCATATGTTTGGGCCCTTCGCAAAGATGATTGAACACTGATGTGCGCGGCACTAAGGCGAGAGCCACATTTTGAAAACCACCCGCCCTCAATCCGCGAAGCTGTTGCAATTTGTTAACATGAATATGCGCGGCACTGAGGCGAGAACCACATGTTGAAAACCACCCGTCCTCAATCCGTGGAGCGCTGGTACTTTCTGGTACGAGTGCACGCGGCGCTGAGGCGAGAGCCACATGTTGAAAACCACTCGTCCTCCATCCGGGAAGCTCGGGCGAATAATGAAAAAGCATATGCGCGGCGCTGACGCGGCAAACGAAGAGTAAGAGCTGGGCGAGGAGCTGGAGGAGGGAGCAGGAGAGGACGGCACGGCCGGATGGACGAAGAGGCAGAGCTGGGCAAGGAGCTGGAGGAGGCAGCGGGAGGAGGGCTGGGAGGGCGGGGTCGCCCTTTGCCTGCGCGGCAACCCGCCACAGAACACACACACACACGCACACGCACACAACACACCACACCACATCCCACACCACATCCCACATCCCACATCCCACATCCCACATCCCACATCCCACACCCCACATCCCACACCCCACACCCCGCACCCCGCACCCCGCTCCCCGCACCCCGCACAACAGACAAAACAGACAATACACAGCAGACAACAGACAACCGACAACACACAACACGACAGACCAGAACACACAGCACACAGCACACAGCACACAGCACACAGCACCCAACACACACACACACACAACACACACAACACACACAACACACACAACACACACACAACACACACAACACACACAACACACACACACGCCTTGCGCGAGGGGGCCGCAATGATTGAGTCGTCAGATCCCACCGCCGCGCGCGCTGCAGCAGCCCTGCCGGCGTGTGCGGGCACCGCATGCCCCTGGCTCCTGGCCGCGGGCGGCCGGGCGGGCTGCGGCCGCCCGGCGGCGCGTATACAAAACGGGGCGCCCCGTGCCCCCGGCCGGCGCGCGGCTCCGCGCCCGCGTGCACGCCGCCGCCGCCCCCCCCCCCCCCCTGGACTCCCCTTCCTGTGCCGCCCCGTAACCATTTTGGCTCAAGCCATTTTGGCTCAAGTCGCAATCTGCGGAATCCCCGCCCCTCGAGGGGCAACAGCGCCGACTTCTGATAAGCCTGCTCCCGACGCTGCACCATTCAGCGACCCGCAGGCTTCACTGATTTTGGCCACTATTACGCTCCTTTTCCCGCATCCGCGCAGGCTGCCGCCATGGGCAAGGGTTCTTATTCTTGTTGCTCTAAGCGTGGCTGCCGTGGTTGGGAATGGGCTCCCAAGAAGTGGTGCTCTCTGTGTGGGTCCAGCCTCAAGGAAGGTTCCATGGGCGGCAAGGCAGATGGCGACGCTTTCCGTCCTCGAGGCCCGCGCAGAGGCGGCTCCCGACCGCCACCTCAGACCGCCGCAGCTGAGGCGGCAGAGGAGACATCCAAGCCCCAGGAGGGACCGCCTGACCCTGTGGCGTTGGCTCAGGCTCAGGTTTCATTCTGGCGCAAGTGGGTTGGAGTCGATAAGAAAGAATATCACGACGCAGTTGAGTACCTCAAGCAAGCGAAGATGCAAGCGCTCAGGGGCAAGAGTTTGGACCAGCAGACTCAGTCGCTCACGGGCCAAATCAACGCCATCAAGAGCAAGCTCGACACCTACGAGACCGAGCTCGATGAATTGGCGGCCTCGATCGAGAAGATGGCAGAGGAATACAAATCGAAGTTGCATGACCAGACTGAGGCTCGCCAAGAACTTCAGATGCTGGAAGCACAGCGTGCAGCGGCAGCGTCAGCAGCAGCACAGGAGGTGGCAGCAGACTCCAACGTGCAAGGTCTGCTCAGCGCCGCCCTTCAGTCCAAGATTCCAGAGGGCGGCTGCATCCCGCCCGCGCTCACCGCCAAGGTGCAGGAGGTCGCCGAGCTGTTCGACCAGCTGCAGCAGCAGCACCTGGCAGCCATGGGGGCGCAGGCGGGAGGCGACAGCGGCGGCATCGGGGGGCCACCGCCAGCGCCTGGCGCGGGTGCGGCAGGCCTCGGCGGCTCGCCATGGCCTGGGC